AAGACAGAACGCAGCCTCAACGAGACCAGTTCTAATGTTTAAAGGCCTCGAATTTATGCGATTTACTCAAACACAGCACGTGCTGCCAATATGCAGTGAGCGGAGAGCTCGTGGAAACTGGCCGTTGATTCCATGTGCTTGAAAGCATTCCCTCAGGGCTTTGCGTCAGATCCGGTCATAAGCTTGTTCGGCTCAGTAAAGCACAAGCATGCCAGACGAGTGCACTCCCTCGATATCGTAACAATCTGGCGAAAAAGAAAGATCTGGTCAAAGGTACTTCGACCTGAACTGAAACCACACCGTTCCTCTTGTATCTTAGAGTCAGTTATTCAGTGGCACCTCATTTCTAACACCCTGGAGGTTCAATGATATAATTCTCTGATAATTGGAGCACTCTCTGTAACCTCATTTCTTAAACAAAGATACTACTACCTCTGTTCTCCAGTTCACTCGAATCTTCCCCTGACCACTGAAGTTTGACAGAGACGTGTTAGCCATGAAGCTTTAAACATTTCAGGGCGAATTTCGTCTATTTAAGCAGCAGTGGTACATTTCAAGCATTTTACAGCTTATGTGATTTCATTCACAGCTGCTATCCATTGCCTGCTGCTGTTCAGGCAAATCTTTCGGAGGCAGCTCGTGATTACGTGATTAAGAAGTTCCTCACAGTACCCTTACCGTCGCTTAAGCATGTGCTCTTCTTTGGTACGAAGGCGTTTGGTCTTGTCCTCCAGGACTTTTGTACTACCTCCACCTCACAGGCGGCAGATGGTTTGCAACGATACCTGGCTTGCAGCCTGGAAATTTAACTTCAGCACCTCACCAAAAGTTTTCCAGGAATCAGCTTTCGGTGTTGGCACTGCTTTTGCCGCCGCCCAGCGCGCCTCTTGTACCCTCTGTTTGTTTCCAATTCACTCACTGATTAGAGTCTTTTTCTCGTTGACAGTTAGTTGAACCTCTCATGTCCATCGGGCAGTTTGTTTCTGATCCTCAAGTGACAGCAAACTCGTTTTGAACCGCAGTTTTCAACGGGTTTCCGCTCTGTTTCCACATCCGCCGTCGTGTCAGAAATCATCCTGCAATGTTGTTTCCAAGTTTCTCCCTCGTATCCGCAAAAAAATATGCTTTCTATTTGATGCACTGGTTGCTCCAGCCGCCTGATCTGCCTGTGGTACTCCAGTGTTTGCCGTTGGTTGGTGGTGCCAATGACAAGGAGATAATCTATTCACAGCTCCGCGCCTCTTTTAACGCGACAATCCATTAGAGAGCGTCGATCATCAAATCGATCA